TGAAGGATTGGTCTCGGATACTGAGTAAAGTATCTTTGACCTTGGTTAGCTTGGTTGCTAGAGAGTTTTGAGTGGTGATTCACTTTTGCTTTCTTCTAGCTTTGTTATGGTGTTAATGGCATTGAAGTGATGCCTTGTCATTGATATTATTGACGTTGAGATTCAAGTGAGATGAGATGTCTATCTTTAGGATTGATATTGAGTTTCATTAGTCTCAATAGAGATAGTGTTGATGATTCGGTTGTAGCTTTGTGTTATTAGCATTCGTGCATTTGCTAGTTAGCAACTGTATTGACGTTCAAACGAGCTGAGTGGCAAGTTTGAGTTAGTTGTGTTCTAAACGAGATTATTTAGTAGGGGTTGAGCTTTGAGCTTTTCCTTGAAAAGTGATTCAGTCGTGAACTATGCTAACTCTACAAGTGGAAGAGTTAGTGATTGATATTAGAATGTTTGAATCCTTATTGGATTTGAGTTGGAATATATTGATCATTGATGATTCTTTTTGTGCTTGTTATGAAGTGAGTTACGTCTTGCTATGGATGGATTCATGAAGGATCGTTTGGTGATCACTTGTTCAGCATAGCTTCGTTATGCTTAGCTTTTGGATTGATGCAGACATGCTCTTCATTAGCTTGGCATTATGAAGTTTAGCTTATGGATGTGTTGAGGAGGATATTATGGGTTGTACTATAATTTCTTCTTTCGCATTGAAGTTAGTTCATGCGAGACTTGTGATCATTGTTAGGAAAGACTTGGCTATAGACTTCTTCGAGCTTTTGGTTCTTTGAGTTTTCATGCTCATTGTTCCATTTGTTAGGAGTTGTTGGGGGAAGGCATTTTGGCTCATTAGCTTCGATGTTGACATTAGTATTTGCATCTAGCAATCATTGGTGATGATTAATTATCATCTAAGATAGTTGATTATCCTTGTCAAGGGTTTTGTTTGGTTGTTGTTGATATAGAATGATTCGCTGCTCTTTGAGATAGTGGATTCTTTCTTAGACGATGATTATGCATCTCTCTATTGATAAGATGATTGATGATCTTTTATGGTGGTTAGTTGTTCTCTTTGATGGCTTGTGGCTTTTCGCAATATCACATGTTCTCTGTGATTTGCTCTGGATTGGTCTCTTGGGTTTGAGACATTAAGTAGGATGTTGCTGACACTTGCTTAGGCAACTTAAGTTCCTTAGTATTATTGGCTGGGATCTATTTAGATTGACTTCTATGATAGTTGGCATGAATGGGTGTTTGTTAGTCTTACCGCATTCATTTTGTTCTGTTGATTATCGCTTGAGTTAGTTCTGATAGTTTGGGATGTTATTTCCTTCGGGTGATACATTCGCGAGCATTGTGCTTGTTAGTCAATGATACTTTGTGTCTTTTGAGTTATCTCTAGTAAGTTATTGGCTTACTGTCTACTATCTTCGGTAGTTAAGTTTCATCATTGAGTTTACTTGATGATATACTTGCTATTGAATTTTGTTGGATGGTGAATCCTATGTTTACAAATTTTGATGATCTTGGTGGTTCCTATACTATACTAGTTTATCGGATGATAACTTGCTTAGAATACTTTTGTGTTCTACTCTAAGATTTAATCATTGGTAATTAAGTCTCTAAGATATCATTGTCTCTGACTTTGATATTGTCCATCTCTTGATCTTTGAGTTTGGGCCAGTATAGGCAGACTGGCTTCGGCACTTCGTGTGCATGTTGAAATCTCTAGTCATGGGGTAGCTACTGTCGACTGGTCACATAACCCGCCTCTTTGTCGATGTTCCTTATTCCGTTGAAAGGGCGTGACCGTGTAAACAACTCTACCTGCCTGTTTACAGTAGTCTATCTAAACCTTACCGACGGGTTTGGTTTCTTTGCTTAGGAGGGTAGGGGCCTCTGGCTTCTCTCTCTATGTTCCTGCGGGCAGGGCATATCACACTTTTGTAAGCTGGGTGACTCCCAGAGCAGCAGGGGTGGCTGACTCCGTTGGTCATTTCCTTGTCGGCGACGGCCGGAAGGTGTCTGAGCTGGTAGCGCATCCGCGTTAGACAAAGAGGTTCCCCCTAACTCATTTAAGTTGGTGCATTTCTCACATAGTGTGAGTACCGTGAACTTTTTATGGAGTTGTTTCCTTGGCGGTATTCTAGACTGGAGTATGCATCGACGAGGACGTCGATCTTCCCTAGGGGGGGAGAGTGTCGCGCATGTGACTTCGGGTATCGAAAGTTACCTGTCGACTAGTCCTTACGGACACTCTTACCTTACTGCCACGATGGCAGGAGGTCGGTATTGCTGGACCCGTTATCAGTTTCCCACTTGAGCTAGTTGAGAAACTGGTCAATGACCGTGTACTTAGATCGGATAAACATAAGGTAGGAACCCTATGTGTTTCTTGCTGAGCATACTCGGCCTGGTTTGAGAAACTCCTGTCATTGGCTTGCACTTGCTAGTATCAAGAACCCCCGCGATATTGAGATTGGTCCCTCAACATCGCTAGATGATAGCTTACCGTGTCTGCCAAACACCCTCGCTATCATGCCCTTTGTGTTAGTCTCATTTCGGTCCCAAATGCTATTTATGGAAAGTGTCCAGATTTGCTCATTTGGCATATCTACAGAATGTAGAGATCGGCCTGAACACAATGGTGTTTGTCCCGTGTCCAAATTCGCAATCTAAGGACATTCCATATTTAGTAAGTTTCGAGTTTGTCCCAGAGACTAACTCCTGATACTAAGGGAGGCTTGGGGTGAAAGCCCAAAGCGTGTGTTCCTCAAGGGGGGGGGGCTGTGGGGGGTTCCAAATGTATAGTAGGGATAGTGGGTAGGTCGGGTATGGCCGACCAACCTGAGGCATAGTCTAGCTTCCGCTTGCGTGCCTGTCCTTGTTCTGCGTCCGGCTTGGGCCTAAGCCCAAGTTCCATTCCATGCTAGTTGGTGGAGTACCCATGTCCTCGCGTTAGGCCACTGGTATGCCGAAATAGCGCCAGACTCCGTTTGGCTCCGTTTTGCGTGCTGGTCCTGGCATTGGGATGCTGGTTACTCTAGGACTGTTCCAAGTCGCTCTGGGCTCCTGTCCCTTCGCTCCTTGGGCTTTATGCTCGGGAGTTGCTCCGTGGTTCGGTTCCGTCACTCCTTGGCTCCATGCTTGGGAGTTTGGCACCATTCCTTTGTTCAGTGGCCCAAGGCCCTGAACCTCGGGTTCCTATGGACACGTGGCATGGACACGTGGCATGTGACACGTGGCATCTGTCACGTGGCACAAAGAGGGTTTAGGTTCCGCTTCGTGGTGTTATCCTATGGTAAATCACTATAGGATAAAGGGTCAAAACCACGTGCGCTACAGAGATGGACCCGAGATGGAGTCCGAGATGGAGTCCGAGATGGGACCCGAGATAGAGTCCGAGATGGGACCCGAGATGGAGTCCGAGATGGACCCGATATGAAGTCCGAGATGGACCTGAGATGGAGTCTGAGATGGACCCGAGATGGAGTCCGAAGTCGAGACCGAGACCGAGATCGGGACCGAGACCGAGACCGAGACCGAGATCGGGACCGAGACCGAGACCGAGGCCGAGGCCGAGGCCGAGTCCGAGTCCGAGTCCGAGTCCGAGTCCGAGTCCGAGTCCGAGTCCGAGTCCGAGTCCGAGTTCGAGTCTGAGAGGGTGAAAGCCCAAAGCGTTCGTCTCCCAGACCCTGGGGGGTTTGGTGAGCTCCAAAAGTATAGTAGGGGGAGGATTGCAGTGGAGCCAGTTTTGCCAGGAAAGGCCAGTTTGGCCCAGGAAGGCCGGACCCAGTGTTGGGTGATGAGATGCCCACTGTGAAGTCCAAGACTGGAGTGAACACGGACCGACAAGTGGGGTAGCTTGGTGAAGTGTTCAAGAGCCGGCTCTAGTTCCCCCGGGAGATCGACTGGCCGATGCTCCCAGTCCAAGTGTGGGTGGCACTACCTACTTGGATACCTGGTGTGGCTCAACGGAACCCCGCTCTAAGCCCATGGCTAGAGCACCCAAAGGTAGAAGGCGAGGAGAGTACCCAGGTGGCTCGCGTAAGGCCACGGTGTTCCGAAATGTTGTCCCAAAGACCCAGACTGTGGAAAGGAAGCGGAGCAGTCCTCTGGGGTAGTGACCAAGGACACAGTCGTGTGGTGAGTAAGTCCCAGAGGACTGTGGGACTTAGTGGTCGGGCCTGTGGGTCTCGATCTAGTGGCAGTGTTGGCAAACACGGCCAGGGGCAGAAAGGGGACTTAGTGGGGACTGACAAAGGGATATTGGGGAAGGCGATTTCCCTTGTTTATGGGCATCCTAAGGATACTAAGGAGTGGATCTGAGATGACCACTCACGGATGGTTTGCCTAGTCTTGGATAGCCAAGACTGTGATGCAAGTGGTATTGGACTACCAGTGTGGCAAAGGTGATTGGGCATGGCCTCAGCGTAACGGGCTGCTATGTCGGTGGTACCTTTGAGTGTCGGTCATGGGATCAAACACGTGGAGCACTTGGACCAAGTGCAAATGTTGAGTGGCATGGATGCCATTCTCGGGGCTAGCAAGTCCCAAGTCCTGGATTGGACTTATGGAGGTTGTGAGTGAGACTCCTCCAAGTGGTTGGAGGTGTGGTTAAGTGACTAAAGTAAAATGGAAAATTTAGTCGCTTACAGATTGGAGCATTCTTACAGACATCTTCAAATATACATTTAGACTTACCAACGATTGTGATAATGTCTTTCAACAATTGCATCATTTTTATCAAGGGTCATCTCAGTCAATAATGCAAATTTGTGTTGTTTCTAAAGCATCTTGCTTTGTGCAGAGCTAAATATGTCGAAACAGATCAAATTGGGAATATTGTGGCTAACACTTTGTCAAAATCTTGTAAGACTTGTGCATGCACTTGTTCTAGCTACTTTTGATGATGCTCACTCAAGCTATGGCAAGGAGAATGGCTGGAATCAAATAATATAATGCTGGCAAAATCAGGAGCCTCACATAAAAATCCTAAATTCTTAGCTCCCATCGAGGATGCCAGCCAGCGTCACGTATGAGGACGATTCGCACGGCTCCAACGCCACCGCCCTCCCCGCCGCCAGTGTGCCACGCTGTGCGTCGCCGTGGCTCCAGCACGAGCTCAGCAACGATTGCCACAGCGCACCCCCGTCGGATTTAAACGGCATGCCCCGGATGAGATCCTCCGCGTCACCCAGCTTGCCCGCCCTGCCCAGGAGAACAATCATGCAGCAGTAGTGCCACGCCGTGGGCGAGAGGCCGTGGTCCTGGGCGGACGAGAGGAAGATCTCGATCGCCAACTGGAGCGCCCCAGCGTGGCTGCAAGTGCTGAGGATCATGAGGAAGCTCACCCCGTCGGGATCGATCCCATCAAGCAGCATGGATTGGAAGGACACCAGGCAGCTCGCGATGCGCCCGCTGTGCGCATAGGCCGCGATCATCGTGTTCCACGCGATCAAATTCCTCACGGGCATGGCGAGGAAGCTCCTCTCGGCATCACCCATGCAGCCGCATTTGGCATACATGTTGACGATTGCACCGCCCAGCACGAGATCCCTGCCGCCGCCCAAGTACTCCACCACGATCTTCCCGACCTGGAGATCCGAGACCACCGCACACGCATCGAGGATTGCCACTAGTGTTTCCGGATCCGGCTCCGTCCCCTCAAGATCCATCAGACGGAAGAGCTGGATCGTGTGCTTGGATCGGCCGTCCTGGCGTAGGCCAGGATTATCGCTGCCCACAGGCAGAGCGGGCGATCCGGCGAGGCATCGAAGATCGCGCGCGCGGAATCTCGCAATGTAGCCGGTCATCATCCCATTCCACGAGCAGATCATGGGGGTGAGGTCGAATATCCGCCGCGATTCCTCCAAATGCCCCGCTTGGGCATTTGCGAAAGCCAGAGCGTTCCAGGAGACATGGCTGTGTTGCGGCATAGAGGAGAATATACTTTGCACAGATTGTATATTCGTTTGCTCCGCGTACACCATCACCATGGTGTTCCATGAAAACGTGTCGTGCCCCGGTATCTTGTCAAACAACCCTTCTGATTGCTGCAAATGCCCGGTTTCGGCATATGCCTAGAGCATGCAGTTCCAGCAGACGAGATTCTTGGGCGATGCCATGGAGTGAAATATACCCGTGGCATCTTCCAGATTTCCTGCTTTTGCAGCCGCCGCAATCGCCAGCGTGCTCGTGATCACGTCCTCCTCTGGCACCGCTGCAGCAATTGTCTTGAACTCCTCGTACTCGGACTGGCAGTGGCAATTCGCAGCGCAGGCGTGGAGGAAGCTGTTTCAGGAGACGATGCTGTGCTGCGGGATCCTGCCGAAGATCTCGCACACCAAGCCCAGATCACGATCGAGTGCACGGGCATCACGTCGAACATCCGCCGTGCACCACAGAGGTCGCCGCTGGCTGCGTGGGCTTCAAGTAGCGCGTTCCATGACACCACATTGGGCTCGGGGATCCGCTTGAAGAGGACCCAAGCGGTGCCCAAGTCCCCGGTTTGGGCAAATCCCGCAAGCATGGTGGTGCACGACACCACGTCCCAACTGGGGAGCCTCTCAAACGCAAGCTTGGCGGTGGCCAGTTCTCCGAGGGTAATGTGTATATCGAGAATGGTGTTCCACGACACTATGCTCCTCTCGAGCATAGCAAGAAACAGTTCGTGAATGTGGGAAATATGCTCAGACCGGGCATATGCTGCGAGAATTATATTACAAGAGACAACGCTGCGCTGTGGCATTTTGTTGAAGAGTTTCTCGGCGGTGGTGGTATCCCCGCCGCGTATAAACGCACTGATTAGTAGATTCCAGCTGAAAACGTTCCTCTCTCCCATCGAGTCTGTGATTCGTACAGATGGCCGCCAAGATGATCATGTTCCAGGAGAAGACGTTGCGATTGCGCAGGCTCTGGAAGAGGGATTGCGACTCGTGGAGACATCCATGGTAGCCATAGAGCTGGATGAGGGAATTCACCAGGAGATTGTCTTGGGTCTGGCTGGCCCTGGCAATTAGCGTGTGGAGACGCCGGCCTTTGTTGAGTGCTCGCAGCCGGCAGCATTCCCAGAGGAGATTGGCACAGAGATCTCGTTGGAATGGAGCTTGCGCCGCCTCCAGTTGATCGATCGCGTGCTTGAGACCAGAGTGGACCTTAGCATCAAATTTAGAACCTTTGAATCATGCTCGGTGCAATTATTTACTGTTTAGAAGTTGTTATAACTTTGAAAAGAAATTCAGTAGCTATATATATTTATATTAATTTATTTTGAAGGAAAAAGGAATAAATCATTAATAATATTTTGAAATACTATTATTTTTGTTGTTAATGTTATTTTAAATATTAATAATTTGATATAGGTTATGAGTGCAATGGTATATAGAAATGTAATATAGAAATGCATATATCAATTTGCCCATGAGTGAGTGGAGTAACTTTATATACAGAAGTAAGTGGTCTAGATTAAAACCAAATTAAGAATTATCAAAATCTTACTATGTTAATATTAATATATGATATCATAGCTATACACTTGGACTTCACATCATCCCTTCCTCTCTAAATGATGGAAGACAATCAAGGTTCTTTCATGGATACGCTGAGATCTGGAGGAATATCATAAGGTAGTATCAATGGATTTGTAAGTGATGTCAATTGTTTTTGATCCTTTTGTACGAAGCATTTTAATTGTTGCATATGCACAATTTTTGGAGGATTGGCTTGTTAAACATCATGTCTAACCTCAAAAACTTGTGATCCAACTTGCCATAACACTTAATACAATCCCTTCTACTAAGTAAAGAGTCTTTTAGACAAACCACGTACAGACATGTTCCTCCCACGTCCCCTTTGAGTGGATTAAGACATCATTAATGAAATCAATAATCACTTCCAGTATATTGCAAAGAACCTCATCCATCATCCACTGAAAAATTGTTAGAGCATTGTTTAAACACAATGGCATCACCAAGAACTTGTACAAACCAAATAACATTAAAAAGTAGTCTTAGGAATATCTTCTTTGGCCATTAGCATTTGGTAGTTTCTAGAAGCAAAATTTAACTTGGTAAACTAACAATTTCGCCCCAGACAATCCAAAAGATCAACAATGTGAGGAAAAGGGTACACATCCAAAATTGTCACTTCGTTTAATACTTGATGCAAAAACAAATACCCCTATTAAGCTTTGTCACAAAATAAGATTCATATACCCAAGTACTTTGCGACTTTCGAATAATAACCTTTTCTAACATCTCTTTGACGTTTGTATGGAAAATCTTGATCTCTTTTAATGACTGATGACGAACAAGAATCTTGATTAGATGAGCATCCTTAGTTGGAATAGGATGATATGTTGCCAGCTTGGCCCCAAAAAATAGGCCAAAATCAAAAAGATCAACACACTCCTTCATGAGCTGATTAATTGCTACAACACAAAAACTGTTGGAAGGATCGAAAGAGGAAATAAAGGAACAAGATGGAAACAAAGAAGAAAGTAATAGGGAGATAAAAGTGATGGAAGCAAAAGTAATAATAAAAGGACAAAGAAGAAAAGAAGTGAGAAAAATGGAATAAATATAAAAAAGTATGAGACAAGGGGGAAAAACCTAAAAAAAAAATTAGCATGATTCTGTTGCAACCAATTTATATTAAGAATGAGGTCAAAAGCTTGATTCGACACCACTCACAATGGTTGCAGCTCAAACTCGAGATTGTCTATATGCACAACTAGGTTTGCCTTATCCCATGCACATGTGTATGTATAACTGTTGTTATAAAGAATGAAAACTAACTCTACCACACGACGCAAATGTAAATGGCAATGTGTAGCAACAGACTGAGAAATAGAAGATAAACTCAAGTTTGTATCAACCAATATAAAAAGAATATCACCTTGCTCTTGTCCTTGAACTCAAGCAGCAATAGCATCAACTTCCATTAAAGCAAGACTATTTTTTATAAAAAGTGGAGCTAAAAGATGTTTAACAAGAAGTGAAAGAGGTGATATTATGCCAAGTGAATGATACAAACATCCAGTACAGCTTTTCCCGCTCCTAATCACCGCCAGGCGATCGATTGGCCTGTCCAGAGAAGAGATGCTGTTGCTATTGCTATTGGTGCTAGTGCTGCTCTCGGTGTCCTCGTCCTTCATCATCTTGCTCGTCGCTCTGGCGATGGATACTCCCAATGGATTGATCGCTTACCTCACCCCAGTTTGGTTGTGTAATTATCTTAGTCTTTTAGTGCCCTTTGTGAAACATGAGACTTTTTAGATACAAAGATGAAAGTTGGATAGTTGCAACTACCTTTGGCATCTTCTTTGTTGTTAATATCATTGCCATTGCTTTGGTTTTATGGCTGTGATTGTGAACTTGCATTGTGTGATGTGTAGTTGCCATGTGGAACTCTCTAGCAATGCAATGTTAGAGGTGTTTCTCCTGTTTTAGTAGCTGTTTTTTTCTCTAGACCCTTCAAAAAGTCTATCAACATTATTGTTCCTTTACCAAAAGAAAAGAAACCATCTTAAATTATTAACATATTTTACAAACTTAATAATAGCATGCTGTTTTAGTTGACCATACACTTATAGGTGGTTTTCCATCTTTGGAAAGAACAAGGTTACAATCTATTTGGAGAGCAAGTATTGATGGTTCAACACATTTAAATTTTCTACAATATGTTCCTGTTGAAAATAAAGCTTTAGAATCAAATGCAGAATAAAGAACTAAATTTCCATCCTCTTGTAATCTTAATCTACAATCAAAAATTAATCCATTAGTTCCAGTAAACCATAGAACTATAGTTTTATAATATACAACAGTATTACAATCCTCCTGTATTATAAACACATACGCTTTATACAGATGTATTAAAAACTCACCTGAACTACGAGTGGATATATGCATCCCTTTATATTTACTAAGTAGTATACTTTTAAAGATGTTACAAAATTTAAAAGGAAAAGAAAATGAATGAATATTAGAAGAAGGTGTTATCATAAGTGCATAGTTACGTATTGTATAAAGTACTGAGAAAACACCAAGATCATGTTGAACAACAACAGTTATAAGATGTGATGCTCTTAAGTTATTAGCAGTATGATATATTTCTCCAGCAACAGTCATTAATAAATGACTAACAGCATCATTATTGACTTCACGAATTCCATGATCATTTATTGGACAATTAACACCAGCAGAAAAAATGGCTAATACCATATCAATTATAACCGCTTCACCATTTGAAAGACCAGCCCAAAAAAATGAATGGAAAACAGAATGTTCTGGTAGTTCCATGTGATGGTAGCCTTTGACCTATAAATGCTGTTAGGCTTATCATAATATTTAAATACCCTATTGTATTTTGAAGAGCATTGGATGTTCCATAATCTTCATAATGAAATACATTAGGTGCATAAGCTATTTGAGAGAAAAAAAATGATAAAATAGAAAAATAAAATAAAATAAATCATTGATAGAAAATATAAAAATTAAATCTCATCTTATATTAGTGTCTTAAAAACAGTTTCATATTAACAGATGTCAGATTTTTATTAAACTATAATTATATTATATTTAAATAATTAGGTGATATAAACATATTTCTAAATGGACATAGTTATATACATTACTCTTTTGCTCTCAACTACATTATAAAAGAGATAAAGTGTTGTAAATTTTAATAAAAGTACCTTATCTAAATCTTATGGTCATTCAACTTTGAATTATATTAATGCAATCACAATAGAGAATATGCCATCCAAAAAAAGTCTGCATTACCATAGCTTGCAAAAGCTTGCAAAATCTGAAGATTGTATTTGATATATCATGTTCCAATTCCATATCAAATCTAAACCATTAGCTTTGATAAACTTGCATTTGATGTTAAGGCTCCATTCCTATGGTTACCTTGTAATGGTTCCCTTTGTTATCTAGAAGTACTTCTTTTTCCAGAAAGGCTTAATCATTAAAAACTTTTGTTATTATAGACTATTTGAATCGAAATTGTAGTTATAAATACATACTTTTTAGTTTAATGCAAGTGTTTTTAATGCTTGGGAGTTGAGCTGTTGATAATTCTTAATTCATCCAACTTTGAGGACTGCATAAAATAAATTGATTCTCACAGAGCTTAGTGTATTTATTAGGACTCACATTATTTTTACTCACCAATGGTCTGGTTATATTAAATAGAATATACAAGGATACTCAAGTAAAAATTAAAAAGTAATTTAATTGCACCTAAAGCAAAGTGGTTGTCCATATTGGAGATAAAGTGAATATAGTTTCTAAATTTGATGCTAAGGCTTCACCCGGGTCTCAAGCACGCGATCGATCGACTGGAGGCGGCACAAGCTCCGTTCCAACGAGATCTCTGTGCCAATCTTCTCCGGGAATGCTGCCGGCTGCGAGCGCTAAACGAAGGCCGGCGTCTCCACGCGCTAATCGCCAGGGCCGGCCAGACCCAAGACAATCTCCTGGTGAATTCCCTCATCCAGCTCTATGGCTACCATGGATGTCTCCACGAGTCGCAATCCCTCTTCCAGAGCCTGCGCAATCGCAACGTCTTCTCCTGGAACATGATCATCTCGGCCTACATCCACAGCGGCCATCTGTACGAATCACAGAAACTCTTCCACTCGATGGGAGAGAGGAACGTTTTCAGCTGGAATCTACTAATCAGTGCGTTCATACGCGGCGGGGATACCACCACCGCCGAGAAACTCTTCAACAAAATGCCACAGCGCAGCGTTGTCTCTTGTAATACAATTCTCGCAGCATATGCCCGTTCTGGGCATATTTCCCACATTCACGAACTGTTTCTTGCTATGCTCGAGAGGAGCATAGTGTCGTGGAACACCATTCTCGATATACACATTACCCTCGGTGAAGTGGCCACCGCCAAGCTTGTGTTTGAGAGGCTCCCCAGTTGGGACGTGGTGTCGTGCACCACCATGCTCGCGGGATTTGCCCAAACCGGGGACTTGGGCACCGCTTGGGCCCTCTTCAAGCGGATCCCCGAGCCCAATGTGGTGTCATGGAACGCGCTACTCGAAGCCCACGCAGCCAGCGGCGACCTCTGTGGCGCACGGCGGATATTCGACGTGATGCCCGTGCGCTCGATCGTGTCGTGGAACGAGATCCTCCAGCCAAGCGCGGTGTTGGGCGGGGATCTTGGCTTGATGCGCGAGATCTTCGGCAGGATCCCGCAGCACAGCATCGTCTCCTGGAACATCTTCCTCCACGCCTGCGCTGCGAATTGCCGCTGCCAGTCCGAGTACGAGGAGTTCAAGACAATTGCCGCAGCGGTGCCGGAGGAGGACGTGGTCACGAGCACGCTGGCGATTGCGGCGGCTGCAAAAGCATGGAATCTGGAAGATGCCGAGGGTATATTTCACTCCATGACATCGCCCAAGAATCTCGTCTGCTGGAACTGCATGCTCCAGGTATATGCCGAAACCGGGCATTTGCAGGAATCAGAAGAGTTATTTGACAAGATGCCGGGACACGACACGTTTTCATGGAACACGATGGTGACGGTGTACGCGGAACAAAAGAATATACACTCTGCGCAAAGGATATTCTCCTCTATGCCGCAACGCAGCCATGTCTCCTGGAACGCTCTGGCTTTCGCAAATGCCCAAGCGGGGCATTTGGAGGAATCGCGGCGGATATTCGACCTCACCCCCATGACGAACCTCTGCTCGTGGAATGGGATGATGACCGGATACATTGCGAGCCTCGACCTAGATTCCGCGCGCGCGATCTTCGATGCCTCGCCGGATCGCCCGCTCTGCCTGTGGGCGGCGATGATCCTGGCCTACGCTCAGGACGGCCGATCCAAGCACGCGATCCAGCTCTTCCGTCTGATGGATCTCGAGGGGACGGAGCCGGATCCGGAAACCCTAGCGGCGATCCTCGACGCGTGCGCGGTGGTCTCGGATCTCCAGGTCGGGAAGATCGTGGTGGAGTACCTGGGCGGCGGCGGCGGCGTGGATCTCGTGCTGGGCGGCGCGATCGTCAACATGTATGCCAAATGCGGCTGCGTGGGCGACGCCGAGAGGAGCTTCCTCGCCATGCCCACGAGGAATTTGATCGCGTGGAACACGATGATCGCGGCCTATGCGCACAGCGGGCGCATCGCGAGCTGCCTGGCGTCCTTCCAATCCATGCTGCTCGATGGGATCGATCCCGACGGCGTGAGCTTCCTCACGATCCTCAGCGCTTGCAGCCACGCCGGGGCGCTCCAGTCGGCGATCGAGATCTTCCTCTCGTCCGCCCAGGACCACGGCCTCTCGCCCACGGCGTGGCACTACTGCTGCGTGATTGATCTCCTGGGCAGGGCGGGCAAGCTGGGCGACGCGGAGGATCTCATCCGGGGCATGCCGTTTAAATCCGACGAGGGCGCGCTGTGGCAGTCGTTCTTGAGCTCGTGCCGGAGCCACGGCGACGCGCAGCGCGGCACACTGGCGGCGCGGAGGGCGGCGGCGTTGGAGCCGCGCGAATCGTCCTCATACGTGACGCTGGCCGGCGTCCTCGATGGGAGCTAAGAATTTAGGGTTTTTATGTGAGGCCTCAGTCTTCCTTTTCCAAGTCTTGGCTCTTCTTCTTCCCGATTTTCTGGAATCCCTCAAATGTAAATATGAACTGACAGCAACTTTCGACGAAGACAAATCACTTTTCTCCTCGACAGTATATGCGGAAAAAAAAATCCACCGTCACCATCACGTCATCTGTCAGATGCAACGAGAAGGATGGCCTTCCTGATTTCCAAGAAGGATTCGCTTCACGCCTTCGAGATCAGACCTGGAACGCTTCCCCCTCGCGATCCTTCCAGTGCCGTGACGAGCATCGTCCAGGAAACGGGGCCATGATCGACGAGGCGCGATCGCTCTTGTGCCAAGAACAGGAGCTCAACAGCGATGTGTGGAATTCGGTCATGGCTCTGTGTTCTTGGAATGGGGACGGAAGAAGGGGCCTGGAGGATGCATCAGATGGGAGTGAGGCCGTAGCTTCAGCACTGCGATCGGCGCTTGCACGGCAATCGGCAATTTCGCACAGGGGTGGAGCATTTTTTGCCAGATCGGGATCCCATATCTGGAGCTGGATCGAGAGAATGTTTGGGGAAACAGCGAGTCTGGAAGAACCCTAATTTTGTTGGAACTCGACCATCGCGGTGCAGGGCATCGGATGATGCGCCGCGCGCCACGACTGGATCCAATCCCTCGCGCTGGAGCGCATTACCCATCGACCGAAGTTAGTAACGAAGATCTGACGGCTGCGGATGTTCCTGATTGGATCCGACGGCTCCCGGCGTGTAATAAATTGCCATCCGAAATAAACATGACCTAGGGTTACAACAGGATGGGCGAGATGGGGGAGATGGCGATGTATGCGCGTATGATGAAGATCTCTCATACTCGTCTATATACTGGTGGAAAGAGGCCAAGATTCAAGGCGTCAGCGGCAAGCAAGACTCCAAAAATCGAGGCGCCAGTAGAAAAGAGTGTCGAGGCACTAGCATCGGCAAGCAAGGCTCCAAGAATCGAGGCACCAACAGAAAAGAGTGTCGAGGCACCAGCATCGGCAAGCAAGGCTCCAAAAATCGAGGCAGCAGCAGAAAAGAGTGTCGAGGCATCAGCATCGGCAAGCAAGACTCTTGACGAGCAAGTGTTGCTGCTTTCAGGTGGGATAGTGGATAAGAAAGCATCTGCAATGCAATTAATGGATGCGAAGCAGTATATGTGGGACACTCTCCAGGGTCGTACCAAGCAACAGCCGCCACGTCACTTCATAGCACAGCAAGAGGCCGGAGGAGAGTTCCCAAGCCCTGTTGTTCGCCTGGATTCACTGCAAAAACAAGTGAATGAGATTCAACCTCATCTCCAAGTGCTAGAGGATTGGATAGGATATTCGAAGCCTGAACTCTACGGGGTATTGGGGATCAATCGGTTCACTGCAGCTGCTGAGATTTTGGACGTTGCGGCAAGCTTCCTTTCTTACTTCACAAGGGAAGCCATACAGAAGCAGGGAGTCCTTGACGAGCTGGTGGACTGTGGGCCTAGAGGGCCTAGGAAGTTGAAGCCATACAGCTCCTATGACAAAGCTGCCATAACTTACGGGAGCCTGTGGTGGTTCGTTTTCAACAAGGAGGCAAGCGGGAAATCTCTAAGTGAGGTATGGCATGATTTTGAGATTCAGGGACAGGTACTTCTCCTTGATTGGGATCGGAAGCGAAGTTCAGCATGCAAAGAAGGCATGCATGTCATCTGTAAACAGGTTATCCAAGCCGCTGAGGAGGAGCTGGCCAAAGACATGGATTCCTGCCAGCAGCAGTGCGACATTAGGAAATGTATAGGGTTTTACTTGTCGTGCATCAAGCCAAGGCAGAACACTGGAGTGCACACAATGGGGATCCTGAACACTTTTCAATGGGCTTCCTCTTCCTCGACTACTGCAACTTTCTCAGTGGATAGGTTGGACATACAATTGAAGAAGATGGAGATGTCAGAGCTCCAGCAGAAGATTCGTGTCTTGTTCGATATTCACGGTCATGCTCACACTATTCCGGAGTTCAAGTATATCGCTGACACTTTCTACCCCCTGCTTAACTGGTACGCGACGAAGTTGGGGATCAAAGTGTTTGAGATCTGCGGTAGGAACAAGTTGGTGGATGAAGATGCAAGTGTCACTTATGAGTTTGTGGAGGGGAAGTGGATGAGAGATGGCCTTCAAGATCAGCATTGGTCTCTCCTATCTTGGTACAGCATATGGGAGTGAGCGACAGACTGCGTCGACTGAAAGTAAGTACTTGATTCTTGAATGAACGTCTGTTGTTCTGACGAGTTTTTTGTGTTGTTTGATTCAAGCTTATCAGATTTGCTATCGATTTTCGGTGCCTTTGCAAGCTGCTCAAAGAACAACTTCACGGGCTTTGGTTTACTCAATACTCAAGCGGTGCAGCGACCAGATCTGCAATCTTAAAGTATAGGATTCTTACACGAAAAACAGAAAAAGATGATACCCCAGTACCAAGTTTCATGTATAGAATATAGCACTATATACACTAGTATCGCTTCATACAAACACGTATCATTTGCAACAGTCGTACGAGTGCGATCGCCAAATATTCCTGGTATATTTTCTGGAATAAATCCAAGACATTCATGATTTATTTAGGCTTTCAACGTCGCAGAGTAGGTCTTAGCGAAATATGAATACAAATTACAAAATGGTAACAAGTTGGCACAAGCAGTGCAACAAGCAAACAATTCGGACACTCCAGGGACGGAGTGCAGTTTAAGCCTGGGAGTGTGATAAAGTGGGAATACGCCCAAGTCTGGAAGAACAGAATATTCACCCCACCACATCCTGGAATGCGCCGGAATGGAAGTACCGGAAGGTTGGAACGGATCCAACATCCAACCAATCGATTAGCCCTACATAAGCCTTGAAGTCGTCAACTCTTTGAAGGCACAGAGAGATAATGTGAGGTATGGCGGACCTCATGCTTGCCGTTTCCGATACTTTACAAGGCCAAGGGGTGGCACTCGAACTATTGAGAGACTGTCGAATTACAGGATGCCCTGGATGGTGACACTAAGTGAGATAAGAATTCGGACGACCAAGAAGCCAATAGAGAAAGAGATTGTTTCAAAGTCTGCGTTTATCAGGATGAACACCTGGTCGAGAAATTTGGACTGAGGCTCAAGACATTTTACAAGGCCATGTATGCGCCGCAAGGAGGGGCGAAGTCCTGTTTATGTCATGTATTTCAACTGGTATCATGGAATTGACGGGTTTGTTGATGTGAAAGATGGAGCTCTCGTCGACAGATACCTTGTTGCTACCCCGAGCAGCGGGATCCAAATGCTAAGTTTGCGGCCAACTTCATGAAAGCACAGTTTGCGAAGTGGGAGATCAACGTGATATCCCCGATGAGTGGGAAAAGCTCGGAAGGTTTGCAATTCAATCTATTGCTGGCTTTCGCGAGCTGGTGCGCTTAGCGCAGCATGACTTCCCCAGTTTTGTACACGTATGGGATGCGAGCCGGACCAAGGGGAAGCGTATCTTTGACGAAAGATCCTCTTTGGCCCAGATGTTGCTTCTTGGGACTGTGACATAGTACTTCCGGACTTGTGTGAAGTGGTTTTGATGGTGTGTGGTGTGCTTTGGAGAGCTTTACGAAAGGAAGAGTCCTTGGTCATCAGGAAAGAAAGTCCTTGCGAGCGCGGAACCCACAGTGAGGATGAAATAGACAAGCATATGACTGCAGTTGCGCTTTAGGGCTTTAGGGTTTCATGCGTTTCTTGTGGCGGCGCGCCGCCTTGACGGTGACAAATTAGCCACTTGCATTCTTCCACTCGCAGTGCAGATGGTCAGTCTCGTCACCCAAATCAAGCGCTCGGGCCGGTCGCGTTCCCATGGGGGCTCGATCCAATCGCCCACTGGAACTCGACGAGGCCCCACATTTTCTTCTTTCTCAAGAACCCTAAAAGTGCAAAGAAAAATCTTCCTTCTACTAGTCTTCGTTTTCTTTTTTCTTGGCTTCGAATGCATGATGTTTGAATCTTAGATATATGGAATTCCCCGTAAGTTCTAGGCTTCTTCCTCCCGGCTTTCTGGATTTCTGGTTTTGCTCTGAGTGCAAAGAAAACTCTTCCTTTTACTAGTCTTTGTTTTCTTTTATTCTTGGCTCGCATGATTGAGCATCGACCTGGAGAGTTTGAATCTTAGATCTATTGGAAAGTCTTCGTAAGTTCTAGGCTTCTTCTTCCCGACTTTCTGGATTTCTTGTCAAATTTATCAGCTGACAACAGCTTTAGTGGCAAGCGACTGATACAGTGATAGATGGTCCCGCGTGACAAACACTTTGTTCAAAGAAATGGTCTGTTCGAGGGATGAAATTGCTTGTTTGGTATGCAAATTCTCAAATCAAACCACTTCTGACTTCCACCTTGACAATATGATCTAAGATCGCTTGTAGAAACCAAATTTCCAAATCAAATCACTTCTCTCCTAGGATCTAAGATCGCTCGTAGGAACCTTCCACATGATGTGATTAATTTAATACCAATCTAACTAAGCCCACCTCTCAAGCAAAGTTTTGCGTGGCTGGATTTTTGTTGGCAAGTCGGTATTGCTTCACACGATCGTATGTGAAAGGATCTCTTTGTTGACCCCAATTTTACGTATACAATACGTCAGTCAACAATGGAGACCGTAGAAAAAAGTGTCCAGCGCAGATTCAATTCAATGAGGACCGAGTTTAAGAGATGGACAGGTTTCGACTTATTTGATATCCTGAATGACAAAACACGCCCATCTTGGACTTTATGCTTGTAATCAGAGAGCAAATTTACTATAGAAGCACCATTCGAAGTGGTAAAACGTTTGGATCTTAAATACCCCATCTTGGTAAAAGGGTGTGTTTTGTTCTTGGGCTGTGTCGCCGGCGATGATCTTATAGTGGGATTGGACAAGAAACCATTCTTCTTCTTCCTCCAATTGTTCTTCTTGTTCTTCATCGTTTATAGTGCGTCATTTCCAA